GAGAGAGAGAGAGAGAGAGAGAGAGAGAGAGAGAGAGAGAGAGAGAGGAGGTGGTTACAGAGGAGGTGCATAACTCTGGGGAGGTGGAAGAAGCAGTAGTTAACAATCTCTCAAAGTGCTGGGACAGACGGGAGCTGCCCTTCACTGGGGGGGCTATCAGGGGGGCGAGAGAAAACAGCTACCTGTGACACTGACCTCCGGCCCATGTAGAGCGACCCGCCTGGCGGTCATGGCCACCCTGGAGGGCTGTCTCTGTCGGGGCGCCAGCGCCCGGAACAACAGCAGCATTCTCTACAACATCCTGAAGAGCGATAGCCTTATGACCTCTGAGGAGCATCAGCAGCAGCATTCCCAGCATCAAACACTTCAACTCCTGCTCCAGAAGACCCCCACCTCATCCTCCTCCGCTCCCCCAGCCTCGCTGCAGGAGCTCCGGCAGCAGCAGCAGCAGCAGCCTTGCTCCTGCGGCTCGACGCGGCGTCGCGGCGTCCTGCGCTCCCCGCAGGTCACCTGCAAAGCCGCGTCCGCCGTGCTGGTCAAGACGCTGCGCTTCGTGAAAAACGTGCCGTGCTTCCGCGAGCTGCCAGAGGACGACCAGCTGCTGCTCATCCGGAGCGGCTGGGCGCCCCTGCTCGTGCTGGGACTCGCACAGGACCGCGTGGACTTTGAGACGACGGAAACGGTGGAGCCCAGCATGCTGCAGCGCATCCTCACGGGTCTGCCCGAGCGGCAGAGCAACGCTCCGAGCGGCCAGAGCCGGGCGGCCGTCGGGGTGTCCGTGGTGGACATCGAAGCCATCAAAGGTTTCCTGAAGAAGTGCTGGAGCGTGGACATCAGCACGAAGGAGTATGCGTACCTGAAGGGAGCGGTGCTGTTTAACCCAGGTGGGTCCAGTATGAAAGTTAATGAAACCGGTTCTGCACGAAATATTGAACATTTGTGGCGATACCAATGTGCAAAATGGCAAAACAATAAATCATGGGAAATTAAATCTTAAAAGTATTCTTGATTTGCATGCTGATAGGCTGGTCCTCATGTTCACACCTAATGACAGTAGAGAAAGTGAAGAAAATATGTGTTCATTCCAACTGATTCTGTCATTGCAATGTTTATTGCAAAAATATCAATTGTTTTTATATCATGCAGTCCTAAATCAGACCACTTTGTCCAAATAATGAAACAATATAAATTACGTAAGTAAGTAAGTAAGTAAGTAAGTAAGTAAGTAAGTAAGTAAGTAAGTAACTAACTAACTAACTAACTAACTAACTAACTAACTAACTAACTAACTAACTAACTAACTAACTAAATAAAGTCATTGCCATGCATGTGCTTGAAACTAAATTTTTCTTTTTCTCTTTTCTTCTTTCTCCCTCAGATCTGGAGGGTCTGCGATGTCTGCATTACATCCAGTCGCTGCGTCGAGAGGCGCACCAGGCTCTGAACGAGCACGTCCGGTTGATCCACCGTGAGGACACGACCCACTTTGCCAAGCTGCTCATCGCCCTGTCCATGCTGAGGGCCATCAGACCCCCCGTTGTAGCTCAGCTCTTCTTCAGGCCCGTCATAGGGACTGTGAACATTGAGGAGGTGCTCATGGAGATGTTCTACGGGAAGTAGGTCATAGAGAGGGGCAATGAAGGCACTCTGAACTGAGGGGGAGGGGAGGAGGACTTTGTGGACTGTGAAGGGACCAATACTAGCAAGTGTGTGTGTGTGTGTGTGTGTGTGTGTGTGTGTGTGTGTGTGTGTGTGTGTGTGTGTG